CCCTTTTTTTTTTTTTTTTTTTTTAGAAAATCGATTCTGAAAATTCATCAAATACACTAAAATTTAGCTAATTTTCGAATCAGAGCAGGAGGTTATTACACGCACGAAAAATAAGCAGAAAGCGTGGAATAAAATTTTTCCACCAGTTTATAAGATGCTCCGCTTTCACAGGTACTTTCGCGAAACATATTCGAATCCTATTTCCTTGGGAACGACGCCTTAAGCGAAGAAACTTGGTCTTGCACTTTTTTTCACTTCCGCCAGTGCTGAATATCAAAGCGTCGTCCGTCGATGGTATATATTTGCACTTGCAATGTTCGACGCCCGTTTTCTTGAAAACGACGCCTTAAGCGAAGAAAAAAAAAAAAAAGACTTTGCGCCAGTGCGAAATTACGACTAAATTAATTAAATTCAAGTATACCTGATCAATCGTCGGACTCGAGTCACTCGAAAATAAATAACCAACTGGGAAAACTACACTTTTCGACGTAGACTTTCTTACTAAATACTAGGTAACACTAAAAAAAAACACCTCGCACCATTTTGCTCGTTCGTCGATCCGTTTCATTTCTATTTCGAATCGAGCGTGCGAAATGTGCGCTGAATATCAATGCGTCGTTCATAGATGGAATATTTGCACTGGGAGAAGTGCGTCTCTCGCGCGGCCGTTAAAAGAGCGGCGAGTATTTTCGCGACGCGGTTTTACGAGCCGTGTGATTAGCGAAGCGGAGAAACGCCGGCCGTTAGAATGCTTTTATTGTTGGACGCGTCGTGCATCCCACTTTCTCTCTCTCTCTCTCTCTCTCTCTCTGTCTCTCATTCTTGAAAGTTCACGCGGCGATCTCTCGACGTTGACGCCGCGATTCCGCCGATTTTTCTCTCTCTCACGCCCCGCGTTTACGCTCTCTGATTCAATTCGAGGAGATCTCTAATTACGAGCGCGGATTCGTTTTTTAATCTTCGCCTCCGCGAGGAGGCTCGTTTAACTCGACAGAGAGAGAATCTGATCGAGTTTCCGAGACTGCAGATTGCGCGAGAAAATATCCTTGCCGACCGGGAGAGAGGGGGGAGGTTGTTCGCGGAAAATAAACGAGACGTTTCATTTCGTGTTTCTTTTTTTTTTTTCTCGAACGCTCGAGCAATTTTGCGTTGAAATTGAAAAAAGAAATATTTTTAGTTATTTTATATCTAGTTTATTTTATTTTTAGTTATGTTATATTCATTTTATTTTATTTTAGGTTATTTTATATTTATTCTATTCTAATTTTATTATATATATGTTTTATTTAATTTCTAGTTATTTTATTTTATTTTATTTTTAGTTATTTCATACTTATTTTATTTTATTTTTAGTTATTTCATATTATATTTATTTTATTTTTAGTTATTTTATATTATATTTATTTTATTTTTAGTTATTTTATATTATATTTATTTTATTTTTAATTATTTTATTCGAAAATATAATATTTTATTTTTAGTTATTTTATACTTATTTTATTTTATTTTTAGTCATTTTATATTAATTTATTTTATTTTTAGTTAGTTTATATTATATTTATTTTATTTTTAGTTATTTTATGTTATATTTATTTTATTTTTATTTATTTTATCTGGAAATATAATATTTTATTTTTTGTTACTTCATATTATATTCATTTTTAATTATTTCATTCGGAAATATGATATTTTATTGTTAGTTATTTTATATTTATTTTATTTTATATTATATTTATTTTAGTTCATTTTTATTTATTTTACTCGGGAATATACGCGTCTCTTTTTTTTTTTTTAAATTCAAACATCTCCGCCGTGCTCGTTGTTACGTATTAAGCGGAAGCGGAGTGAGAAACGGAATTGATTACGTGAAACGACGAGTCTCGTTAAAATGTAATATACACGCGATTACAATGGC